ATAAAAGTGTTTGTTTGACATTTCCTGCATCTTTACAACATTGTTAGTTGATTATATAAAATTGATGGTAAACTTGTTATCGTGTATTGTGTAATAAAGTGTCAAAAATGGAAATAAACTCATATCAGTCAGATTCAATCATTTACTATGTTCAGAATGTCAGAATGGAGGAAATTGGAAATTTGACACAGTTCTATTGATATTTGTCCCATCTCATCAATTTTCTTAGTTGATCATATAAAAATGGCAGTAAACTGTTTATTTCATCTTATATTAAAAAAGTGTTAAAAATGGAAATAAACCCATTTCAGCACAGTGCTGTCTAGTTTACATTGTGGCATATTCAAGGTGTCACTTTGAAGTTCCATGGGCATGAAGACCTTTGCTAGTCACATTTTCTGAATATACATGATATTATTAAAAATTGATGATCATTATGCTGTTAAACATTATGTAATATTGCATCAAAATTTGAAAATAAACCTATATTGGGCACTGCTCCCATGATGACCATTTAAGGAAAACCATGTCATTTACTATTCTCAAACTTACAGAAAGAATTAAACATGGGACTTAAGGGGCCGTAGCGATAGTCCGAAGGTTCAATAGTCCGAAGGTTCATTGGTCCGAATGTTCTCTATAGAACCTTCGGACCAATGAACCCTTGATTAAAAAATCGATAAAAATGTTACCACTTTTCGGACCAATGAACCTTCGGACCAATGAACCTTCGGACTATCGAGACGCCCCCGGGACTTAAATACAGCTTCAGTAGGCAATGCAATCTGTTTGGTAATTCTTTCTGCCGGTTAAACAGTTTTTTTGTGAAAGTTTAATTTTTCACATATTGGCATTTTCAAGGTGTGACTTTGAAGTTCCACAGGCTTGAAGACCCATGCTAGTCACATTTTCTGAAAATCCATGATACCTTTATTTTATTATTAAAAATTGATTGTCATTAATTATGCTGTTAACCATTATGTAATATTGCATCAGAATAGAAGAACTCACAATTTTGGGTGCTGCTGCCATGAAAACCATTATGGGAAAACCATGTTACTTATGATTGCCAAACTTTCAAAAAAGAAATACAGGACTAAAATGCAGCCTGAGAAAAGCAGTCTAATTGACTTCTTTTTCTGGAAGTTATACATTTTCAGAGTGTGAACTTGAACTCCTATGGGGCTGAAGCCTTATGCTTGTTACACATTTTACTTACATTGGAATTACCTGTTGAGCATAATTAAAATTTGATGTTGAATTTGCAGTTTAACATAATGTACTTTTGCATCAGAATTGACTGTACCCTATTTTGTTTTTTTTTTCCTTCTTTTTGTCTGTACATTTGACAGCTTTGCTGCCTTGTTAAGGAGGTACCCAGGGCTGACACTGCACTGAACATGCCATTGTGCTCGTTGTGCACAACCAATAACAGCTCAACTACTGCATTCAAGTAACTTTATCAATATCATATCTAACGTTATTGTGTTTTATTTTATTTTGGAAAAAATGCCGATTACATTTGTGTTACTATTCATAAAATTAGTTTAGACAGCACACCTGTCGTTTGAGAACCGAGGCGCAAGATGAAACCTACAATCGCATTACAGAACAAATTGACTCACACCCGGTTGCGGCTTGTCTTGTCACATGACCGTGACAGTTTCAATATGGTGGACAATTTGTAGAGTTTCCGCTATATATCAAGATAAATTCTGAATATTGGTCTAAATATTCAGTTTGCGGACCAATTTCAAAACTCAGGGATAAGAAAATATTAACGAGTTGTTGTAAAACACCAGCTTGTGCATAAAACGTTTTATTTAAGGTAAGAAACAGCTCGATTTGCACAAAGGAATGCGAGGTATTTGGGACAATTATTTTGTCGTGATTCAGCCGACTTACCTTGGAACTATTACAATTTGACTCATAACGTTAGGGTGTGAAAAATTACAATATTTTACTTTAGTTATAACATGCCGTGCTCAACAGGTAGGTATATTTAATAAGAGAGGTAGGGATTTGTAGCGGAATAAAATTTTGAAATGTAAAATAACTATTTAAAATTATTATTTGAGCGAGTAAGGGTGTGTCCAAAATAAAGCGGATAGAATAGAAAGTATTTAAGCTGTTCAAACTTACCTGCTTGTAGTGATTTAATCACCTCATTGGGATTTTATTCTCTCTCTCTCTCTCTCTCTCTCTCTCTCTCTCTCTCTCTCTCTCTCACACACACACACACACACACACACACACAGACACACACACACACACACTTATGCTGGCTGATGATGATGCTTATTTATATCTTTAACTTTGTTGCTATTCATTTTTATAACATTCATGGTAGTAAGATGTATGTGCCTATGATTTGTTTGTACCTTACTAGTACTTGTAAAGGTGTGTATCTGTGAAGAATCCAATCCACACACATGCACCCACACTTTAACACGTAAAAGTACATGTAGAACAATAAGTGTGTCAATCCTAAACTATCATTGCACTGTCTTTGGAAGCCAGTGTCTCTTACCTAATGTTAAAATAATATATTCTAGACCAACCATCATTCTCAATGCCCACTCCAGTCATGGCAGAGACGGACAATCACATCCGCCTCAAGGCAGTTTATAGTGGGTAAGATCATATTATTTATTTCAAAAGAAAGTTTCTGAGTGACTCTCAGCTTTTATTAGAAAATTATCACCAAGGTTAAGTTAAAGCTAAATTTGGTTTTTTTCACTGTTTAAACCAATTCTTGCCGTGGGAGCCAATATTCTTATTATTCTAGTGGATAGATGTGATTATGTACTATACTAGTATTAGTCTTATTATATTTAATGGATCTCTATTGCTACATATTATAAGATGGATTTGTTTAATTCCGGGATTTGAATCAATTCTGTTTGGAATTGAAATACTTAGTCATTAGAAAGTTCCATACCATCAAATAATATTAAAATTAATTAGCATTAATATATATATTTCCCATAATTTCAGTGACATCATGGTGACCCACCTCCCCATGGACATCACCTACAGCAGTCTGTGTAAAGAAATGCAGGAAATATGCCAGTTTGATGAACAGCAGCCTTTCACCATGAAGTGGCTGGATGAGGAAGGTATGTCCTATTTTAGTGTCTCTCTCACAGTATTAGGCCCCATTCCCATAGGCACTATTAGACTGGGTTCCCATACTTAGATTAATCTATCTGGATCGATCTAACTCCCTGGGGGTTTACGCTAAATTGCTATCAGCTCAAGAGGCTTAAATGTCTGTCACGCCTATCGAATCAGCTAGGGGTAAAGATAATTACCCCCTCACAGTTTTACTAGGCGTGACAGACGTTGAAGCTGGTTAGTTTGATAGCAATTTAGTGAGACTCCCCAGGGAGATAGATTGATTCAAATATCTGTGGGAATTGTCTCCTAGTCTATGTAGATCATTCCAACTCTCAAGGAATCTTGCTGAGCGCAGTCAGCTTACTAGTAAATGAATGATACACTTCTACTTGGGTTGAGTAGAATACAGAAAAGCTGGTGATTATGTGAGTACATTGGAAACAAGAGGAGGCATGTTATTCAGTTAAGCTGATTGCACTCAGCAAGATTCCCAGCAGAGTTGGATCCATCTATGTAGAGTGATGTTGTTAATGGGAATGGGGTCTAAGGCATGGTAAAAAAGGATAAACTAGTATCTTTTTGAAAGAGGCCGAGCATTATTTAACCTTTGAGGGATATCATCTCCATCTTTCATAAAAAATCTCATGGAGTGTGGGTACTATAAGGACAGCCTGCAATCCCCCCTGCTAAATCTACAATGGTGTCCTAACTTCCAGAGCTCTTGTAAAGGCTAGATTACATTTATAATCTGAAATTGTCGGTACAATTATTTTTTAAATCGTAAGGAGCTACGGGCTACACCGAGTGTGTGTACATTACATGGCCTTAAATTTGTATGATTTTGTGCGATTTTGCATGGACACCATCTACCTCCACTCAGACGACGTACACAAAGGCTATTTCAGATGTAATCTAAGCTTAAGTCAGTTTGAGAACCTTTGTTGAAGGGTTGAAATATCAAAAGGAAAAAAAAAAAGAAGAAAAATAGAATGGAAAAAAGGTTATTCTCTCTAGAAACCATTTATTTTAACCATTGTCATACAAGAGACAATAAAAAAAAAAAACTTATGATAAACTATAATTATTATGTGCAGGTATTGTACATTTGGGTTGTTGAGCAATGTGTTAGATGTGACAGTGGAAGCAATTAGGTGAGCGGCAAAACCCCAAAAAGTGCTTTATTTAAGGAGTTTAGTGTCCCCTTTATACACAGACCTGAATTATATATCATTTGAAAGCTCAGAGTCTGCTGGTCAAAGTTAGCCATGATGTGGAAATGGCAATTGCCTGCGTAACCATGGAAACGGACAATTTCCAAGATGGCCGCCTGTTTTTTTGCATTTTTTCTAAAAATACAAATCATTGATAAACATACCTAAAACATTGTCTATCATCTAACCTTTACATGTTTTGTGATGAGGGAGGTTATGGGCTAAAAAAAACACCATAGCAGGATTTCAAGATGGCCGCCGTTTTCAAGATGGCCGCCATTGTTTATGAAAAATTGGTCAAATTTTCTCATTTTATTCCAAATCTTTCCATATAGAATCAAAACTGTGGTGTCCACAAAATAGTTATTGCATGAATTATACAAAGTAGGTATATTTTCATTTAGTTATGGCATTTGGTTAAATTTGGGGGATGGTAAAGCAGTCAATTTTCAAATATTCAACATGGCCACCATGAAATGCCTATTTCCATGAGGTAGGCTTTTGTGCACTTAAATAATCAAAAAAATTATTTTTATTACCAAGCTCAAAACATATTTTTGCTAGATGCTAGATTTTACATGATGCTTCATACAACTTCTTCAAAATGGCCACCATTTTCAAGATGGCCACCGTTTTCAAGATGGCTACCATCATTTGTGAAAAGTGTTTGAATTTGCTCATTTTATTCCAAATCTTTACATATAAAATCAAAACCATAATGTCCATATGACTATTATGGAATGAATTATACAAAGCAGTTATTAATTTATTATATTATGGCATTTGGTTTAACTTCAGTGATATTTTAGCAGACATTTCTTAAATATTCAAAATGACTCACTGCCATGAAATGCAAATTTGTGTAACTTGGGATTTGATTCAGCTAAATCATCAAATAAATAATTTTTGTGTCCAAGCTCTCATACATATTTGTGCTAGATGCTACTTGATGCTTAATACATCTTCAAGATGGCCACCATTTTCAAGATGGCCGCCAAATGGAGTTTTTTTCTCAAAATTGTATTACGCACATCTAAAGGATAAAATTATTCGCAAAGCATTACTACATATATGGTTGTAAAAGAAAAATAATTGTAGGATATGTGCTATTACTGCAACTTTTCACTTGTAATAAACAATTTTTGGATTTTCCAATATTTATATGTACTAACACATGTTAAGTCAAGTCAAAGTTAATACTGTATTTCTTGTTGTGAACCTTTGTGTGCGATTGTCACAGTAAAAAGAAATCCCATAGTTTTGAAATATGTAGACAATTTAAAAAAATAATTTATTTGTTTTGATCTATAAAATTTAATGTATTTACCATTACCAAAATGTCTGTCATATTAAAACAGGAACCTATCTTTATTTGAAGTGCATCAGTCCATATAACCCACTGCAAATCCATGATGCATTTCTGCGGTCTACATTTATCAAGTTGACTTCTCAGTAAAGAAAGGAGCACATAAATACACTATTTTGCCGCTTCAATTATCTTCAAAATTTTACCTCAGTACATTTCTAAGTACCCATACTCTCATATATCTCTTAAAATGCTTGTGCCTGCATGCATTATCTACTCACACACACCCACGAACCCATATACATGCTAAACCCTTAACGTGTTCTTTGTATCTACATTAGTGACCTGTCACTCATGCTCTTTCATCAAAATCATAATCAATTTCAATACATGTCCCCAGAGAATATGGATTCTGACATATCTAGTAGGTACACTGGGTCCTTTGAGCATAGTTTGTCGGAAACAATTTGGGCAACATTGCCCTTACTGACACAAGCTGCATCTCCCGGTAACCAGTGCACCCTGTTCTAACAAAGTTTAAAAGAAGAGCTTGAAGGAGGCAGTCCCAAAACTGAAATGTAGGAAATACCCCTCATCCCCAGGCCTGGAAATCTGAGAAATTTGGCAGCAGATCCTCAGACATACTCTCAGATACATGCTGGTCACCCATAAAACCCACAGCACAAGACTTGTAAAACTCCTACACATTTGACACCTCAAACCACACCAACTGTGAAACTTCGCTATTCTTTCTTTGGTACCAAAATAAAAAGCTGACAATCTGAGAGATATCAAAGCTTTAAATGCCAAAGTAAGCCCTCTTATTGCCATGTTGAATTGTTTTCCACACAACCCTCTGCGCTGAAGTGGATGCTGCATAAACATCAGACTCTACAATGGCCACCAATGGCCAACAAATCTGCAACGGCCCAAATTTTCCCAATAGAAGCAATGAAGCATGACAGTGTATGGGAACCACCCATACAAATGACATGGCAACCAAACTCTTCAGGAAAAGACCAGTTTATTTGTTGGGCTATGGCATATAGCTGTTGGTCGTCCGTTTGTACAGCAAATTGCTGTGCAAGTGAAGCACTCGTACCCCAATACATTCAACATTGTGGTGTAAAATGTGTACATGTCATTAGGTTTAACATCAAGAAGTGGCATATATGCAACTGCAGTATAGGTCGTTTTCTTCACAGACAGCTGATTGAATCCTGTCCAGAA